TATATAAACACAAAATCAGGAAGTTTGCTAGGGAAGTCACCTTGACTAACAGCATGACAGCCCTGATCTCTACGGGTGCTGTGGAATCCGGATGAATCCACTGGCTCTAGGAAGCGCCAGGAATAATAGGCTTTGTGGGATGAATAGGAGCCTGGCTTTTCCTACCATTTACTACACAGTGTAGTGAAGAAACAGTTATGTTTGAATCTCTGCTCCACCATCTTCCCAGCAGAATGATTATTTTCATCTCTCCAACCCTCAGTTTCCTTAATTGTGAAATGAGGACAATGCAAAGGATTCGTCTGCAGCACCATGAGGAATAAAAGTGATTGGGTCTGAAAACACCCAGCAAGGTGCCGGGCTGCAGCATAGTCAAGGCTAAGGACCGGTGAGTAAATGCCAACTGCTGCTCTCTACAGGGCACTAGCACATGCCAGTTACCACGTGCCAAGCACTCAGGATAAACTATTAGTCTATCAGTGATCTTGTGCAATAGGTACTATATTCTGACCCATTTTACAGATGCAAATTGAAGCACGGTGAGGTTAAATATATTATTCCGAGCTGGTAAGTGGCAGGCGGCTGACCTGGGATCTGCACACAGCACCTCACTCTATAGTCTCAGCCGCAGAAGGCAGAATGGAGATGATAGCACCCGGCAACGGGGGTGGGTGGAGGGAAGGAGGTCATCAGGGGAGCTCTCTAATGCCATCTTGTCCCTTGGAGAACTCAACCCACTATCATGTGGCGATTATAAACACAAACCTCAAGCTTCTCAGCCTGGAACCCTCCAGTGGCCTGTCAGGGACACAGGGTACATATACAGTTAGTGTAAACAAGGCACAGCCACTCATTCACTCACCAAGCTTTAGCTATTTATCATGAGCTGTTCTATGAGCTGGGAATCTGGACGTGTATAAAATGAAACTGAAATCCCAGCCCTCTGGGAATATAGATGAAAGGGAGAGAGAGGGAATAGACCATACACAAAGGAACAGGTAATGCAGATATATAAAATATATCTGGATATATAATAACATATCAATTGGTGATACAGGCTAAACAGAGAAGTACAGTGGAGGGTGGGGTGCAATAGGACAGCTTGCTAACTTAAATGTGTTCTGGGGTGCAATAGGACAGCTTGCTAACTTAAATGTGTTCTGGTGTTCTGGGGGCTGCAATTTCTCTGAGAAGATAGCTTGTGAGCCTAAAGACTTGCAGGGAGACTTGTTTACTGAAGAAGATCAAGGACAAAGGCCCCGAGGTGAGAGTGTGCTAGTAAGGAGGCCAGAGGGCCAGGGTGGAGAGCAAAGGACCAGCAGTAACTCATGAGGTCAGAGGGTCGTGGGGGTGCAGGGGGTGGAGGAGGGTTTGTGTGTTATAAAAATAGGCTAAGTGTAGAATGCAAAATATGTTTGCATTTAAAGTTGGGTCTCAACCAGATGTGCTTATGGAGCTTCCCTGCATACACATCCTCCTGATTATCTCCTCCGATAGGTTCTGCCCATACAGGAGAGCCTCACAGGGTTGGGGATTGGGAGGGCTGGGCGGAGCACCGTCAGGCTTCAAAGCAGGCTCTGACTCAGGCCTCCTAGATCATCACTACCCCAGGGCTCTGTAAGGGAGAAGCCCCGGGCCTCCTCCCACCTTAAGACCAGAGTTCAGTCACCTCATAAGGCCTAGACAACTCTGGTCTGCACCTCCTCCCAGGCCACAACCTGGTGCTGTGAGACCTGGAACCAACAGGCAGTACTTGCTGGTCCAGACTGAAGCTGATGTACTTTAGATCTACTTTGGGGCCATTTTGAAATATTCTTTGCCTCAGAGCCAGCTTGGAAAATACTTTGAAGTTTCATTTGCTTTATTTAAAAAATGTTTTCAGTCTTGGATTTAATCCAAAAACGGTTCCCATTTTTGGTTCCTTTTCAGGTGGTAAGGCTGGGGGGAGTTGGCGCTGGAGGGGAACTTTAGTTCAGTTCATGAGTCTGAAGAACTAACACTGGGTACAGTTCAGAGTCCAGTCAGACACTTCAGTTTGGTTCTGGTTCAAGTCCCCTTCTAGGGAGCAGCCTGCTGGCTGTTTATTTCTTTTCCACAAACAAGCTGGTCACTAGGGAGTTGACACAGCACCAAACTAGCTTGTAGGGTGAATAGGGACAGTGCAAGCCCTAGTATCGAGCTAACAGCCTCTGCTGGCTGAGTAGGACCACCCCCTTTAGATAATGAAATTGTAAGGTGTTGCCGAAGGAAGCCCGCACAAGTCATCTTAGAGAAGAGGATTATGGGTATGGGGTTCCAAGGGAGTGAAGGGAGGGATTGTAAAGGGGAGGGAGGGTCCTAGCTAGGAACCCCCAAGGTGGGATGTACAGAGGAAGAAGTCAAGGTCCAGGTATCCTCAGTCTGCGTAAACAGGAATGTGGGTGGGGGGCCTGTGGTCCAGCCTCTACCACCTCCTGGATGCTATCAGCAGCCAAGGTCAGGGTGCCCTTCTGGCCCCCATGAGCTGCTGCCTGGGCTGACCCAACAGAAACCAACTCAGAAGTATAAGGGCCTTGTGGTGTCAGGACATAAACAGCTGATTGCAGACTGTGCTCCTAACCTCTGGGGCACATGACTTCTTTAACAGAGTCCCTACAGGAGTATCTGAGCAACTCATTATGGACTGGGAGAGGAAGAAATTGCATGTTTCACTGTATTTTCGAGTTTGGTCAAACTTTCTGATATGTGCGATGCACTAGGACAGGGAGGCAAATCCCTAAGTCTGGCTCTTCCTGGATTTGCCCAACCTGGGAAGTTGGGAAGAGTAGCAGTGAGTCAGAAGAGGGAACAAACAAGTAACTGGTAACAGAAGGGGCGACATAGCAATAAACCTGGACCAGGTGTCTACCTTGTACCCCGCTCAAAGAATCACAGCTTCTACCTCCCAGGGTTAAAACCCAGTGTGGTTTCCCCAATTTGAGGACCATCTCTGTCAACATCGTTCTACTGTTTGTTAAAAGGGAAGAAAATGTAAATTGGATAAACCTGGGTGTGTATCCAGGCGATTTGATTCTGATGCTGGGCGTCTCCCACTGAAGTCACAGGGGGGCAAAGGCAGGGATGCAACCCAAAACTAGACTCTGGGAGAAGGGTCCTGTGAGTATCGGTCATCGCCCCCCCCCCCGCCCCCTTTCTAGCCCAGAGCCTGGAACACAGCGGATTCTCATAACACTTGTTTCAATGCTGGCTCCTAAGATGGGAGTGAAGTGGTCAGCGAGGGAAAGGGGGAAAGGAGTCAGAGGACAGGGCAAAAAGGTACTCTAAGCAGATGAAAACTTTCCGAGACTCTGTCCTGGGAAAGTCAGCTTCGCCTCACAGGGAGGTGGCCGCGGCGGGTAAGGGTGATGAGTCGTGCGGGGTGGACGGCGGGAGGCACCTTTTAGTCTTCCCAGGCCTGCGGAAGGCGTGAGGTCACCTGGCGCAGGGCCAGCGGCAGCTGCGAGGACGCGCCCGCGCGGCGGTGGGAGGCGGTGTCAGGCTCCAGTCCCCGGGGGACTATCTCTCCCGCCCCTCTGGAGGCGAGGCTGGGCGTCCCGCTATCTTCCCCCCTAAGCCTCCGACACCCGTACCCTGCAAGGCCACGCCCGCGAACCTTAGGCGAGTCTCCCTAGCTGTGGACAGACCCCCGAGCGATCGGCCCGCCCAGCCTGCCTCAGGCCACGCCCAACCGCCCCGGGCCACGCCCATCACACCCAGGCCACGCCCAGCGCCTCCAGGCCACACCCCGAGCGCGGCTGTTCCAGGCGCTCGGGAGAGTCCCGAGACTACGGCCTGGCCCCGCCCCCTGGCCCCGCCCCTCCTGGCCCCGCCCTGTGGCTTGAAGCGACCAGGACTGCGGCCTCTTCAGAGTCGCGCGCGGGGCGTGGGGCGGTGCTGAGCGGCTGAGGCAGAGGCGAGCTCGACGCCGGGACTGTCCAGCGAGGCGCAGCGCAGTGGGAGCCGGCACCGAGCAGCCCGGGAGCAGAAGCCACCGCCGTCGCCGCCGTCTGAGGAGCCCAGCCGAGCCGGCCATGGCGTTGTCGATGCCGCTGAACGGGCTGAAGGAGGAGGACAAAGAGCCCATCATCGAGCTCTTCGTCAAGGTGAGCGCTCGCCCGCCGTCCCGCCCCGCTCGGCCCCCCGGCGCCGTCCGGCCGCGGGCCGGGCGTCCCCGCAGCGCCCCCGCGCGGCGCCCGCACCCGGGGCGGAGGGAAGCGCCGCTCGCGCGCCCCCGGCCCATTGTCTCGGGCCCACCCGCGCCTTCCCGCCGCCGAGGCTGGACCGGGACCCCGGAAAGCCAGTTTTCGGGGCGGCCGCCGCGCGGACCCCACTGGACGCCATTGGACGCCGGGTCGCCTCCCCGCGGTCCCCGACGCCCGCAGGACCGGGCGGGGGTGGGTGCTGTCACCCGGGCCACCCGCGCGCGCGCTCCGACCCCACCCTGCCCCTCTGCCCGCCAGGCTCACCCCGAGCCGGGGAGTCGCAGCCCCGGCCGGCCGTGAGATGATGAACTTCTTGGACGCTTTCTGAGCGAACATTTCGCTGCCCGCCGGCACGAAACTAACTTTAATTTTCGGTGCAGTCTTCAAATTTTTTTAAAAAAAGAGCAGACATTCCTGCGCCTCCGGAAAAGACCGAGATTCCCAACTTGGGTTTTCCTGTCTTAGGTCTTTGACCACCATCTGGTTTTCTGGTTTCTCAAATGCGGAGTGTTTTGTATGATGCAACATTTTGGCCGCTCCCCTCGGTGTTGCTGCCTCGGGGAAGACTGTGTGCCCTTTTGTTTTGAAAGAAAAACTGATGGGGGAAAGAATTCTTGACTGGCTTGGGTTCTGCAGGTTTGACTTCCCCTCCTGCTGCGTGGTTTTGGATCCTGGAGCTACCTTGTTTGCTGGCAAGCGTTACCCTTGCCCCTTTCCTTCTTTTATTTTCTCTTCCTCTTTCTCCTTTTAGCGAAGGAGAGTAGACTAGTTAAGAACATCTGAAGGCAAATAAATGCGCCCCTCAAAACCGCCTTGAAATCCTTGAGATTCTCTTAGTTACTCTTTTAAACAGGCTCTTTCTGGGCTGGGTTCCGAATTGGAAAGTTAACAAGAATCTGCAACACTTTTTTTTCTTTTTTCTCCCCCAATTTTCATTTTAAAGAAGGAAGATCCTGAAGGGTGTATTTGATCCACGGACAGAAGAAATGACAAGCAAGTGATAGAAACGATGTTTGTTTTGGGATTTTCTTTGTTAGCAGCCTTAGAAACATTTTGGTTCAGGAGACTGAAACAGCAATAGGTACAGAACCCCCAGGGTATCTTCAGTGGCCGAGTACTTAGTGTTTAAAGGATACTTGGGTTTGTAGAGAATGTAAGGAGCCTAAAGAGAAAGGAGTAAAGGCATTATGGAGAAGGGATAAGGGTGGGTCAGAGATAAGTGATCAAAAAAGTACTGTGCGAGGGATAGGAAGGAATTCCTATCTACTAAGAATCTATAAAAACCACAATATTTAATGGTGAGACTTTTGAGGTAACATTAAGTTTAGAATCAGGGGAGAATTATTTCAGTAGCGAGTGCTTTTAAGCACTATACTGGAAGGCCTTGCCAAAACAATCAGGCAAGAAAAAGAAATGAAATATTAACTAAGAAGAGATCACCACTTAATGCCCTGCTTCTGTTAATCATTTAAATTAGGAGAGGGATGTTATGCATTGTTTCTCCTCCTGAAGGCACTTGCAAACTCACTTCCAGTTTTCCATATTTGTGTTGGGATCAGTAACTAGTTCTAGCAATAATATCTATGAAACTATTATATCTATCTATCTATCTATCTATCTATCTATCTATCTATCTATCTATCTATCTATCTATCTATCTATCTATCTATCTAAGCTTTATTTCATTATTATACACACAAAAGCTGAGTGTGGGCCAGAGATGGTTGTGTGTGAGAGAGAGGACTCACAAGGAGACAGTGGGGTGTAGAACAGGTGGATTGACTGAAACACTGCTGAGGGGAGCAGTGTGGGAGACAAGACAGGTCTGCTGTGCCGTGTGGGTCAGCTCCCTGGCAGCGGATTGAACTGCTGTGGCTGGTGGTAGCTTGATAGTGCTGAGATTTAACCCCTTGTGCCTCCAGGGAGGCCCAAAACCATTAAAATGAAAAAATGTTTGTGACCAGCTTACCACTCACTGGTTGTAAGCCCTACTCATGGGGCTCGGTGGCAGACAACCAGGGTTCAAGCCACAACTCAGTACTCATCAACTGGGTTACCCGGGCTGGGCAAGTTGTTTTCCCTCTCTGAGTACTGTTTTCCTTGTTTGTGAAATAAGTGAAATATTTTCTGTTGCCCTGTGATGCAGCATAGGTAAAACTTGCTGCTGATATAAACCAGGATACTTGTTTCTTGTAAATATATATATATATATTTTTTTTTTTATCTTATTTATACATATAGAACTGGGGTACAGGCCAGAGGTGTGGGGTGGTGAGAGGATTGACCAGAGACAGAGTGGGGAGCAGAACAGGCAGATTGAGGAAGTACACTGCTGAGGGGAGCAACGGGCCATTGAGGAGAGGTCTGCTGCGCCAGGTGGATCACCTCCGGGGCTGGGGATCAAACTCACACTGTAGCGGCTGCGGCTCACTTGCAGTGCTGCATCGTAACTCCTTGTGCCACCAGGGAGGGCCCAGCATGCTTGTTTCAAAGAAAATAGAAAAGGGTCAGGTAAACTGTGGTAAAGAATATTCTTGATTGATTCTCAAAACCTGTGGGAACAAAGAGAAAATACCATTGTGAAGATAGTTATTTAGAAAGTGAGGCGGCAGAAGTTGTGGTTTGTCCAGTGTGTTAGTGTTTAAGTTTGTAACAGAACTGTCTGCATTTAAAGTCTCCAGTGAAAGGATATTGAACCTCCCTGTTCAGGTAGCTATACATTTAAGTGAAATGCGCTGGGACCCTCCCAACTAGTGTGACTAAACTCAGCTACATTTCCTCTCTTGTATTATTTTTGGAGCTTTCTCCTCATGAGCCCAGTGACTCTAAATTGCCTGTGTAACCACACTACTCTATTTTTGACTGTTTACCCAATACCCACAGGATAAAGACACCCTCCCTGTTGTAAAGAGGCTTACAGACTTAGTTATGCTGAGCAGTAGAGGTGTTCCCTTATTCTGCTCTGCCCTTTATCCTGCTCTGCGGACCTTGGTAGGTGTATCTTGTGACATACCAGCCCTGGTTGTGAACCATTGACCAGCAGTGTGAAGTTTAAGCCCTTCTGCAAGGGCATGAGGGCCCTATAATCTGACTGTGTCTAATCCAATTTGTCCACTTACTAATTGTGTGTCCCAAGACACATCACTTAAACCTTTCTGTGCCTCACTCACAGTTGAGATATTAATAGATCAACCTCATGGGACTAAACTAGCTAATGTATGTAGTATGTAATACGCTTAGGAGAGTGTCCAGTGCACAGTAAGCAAATAATACTAGTTGTGTGTTACTTTGCAAGTACATAAATTTAGATGCAGCTCTCCCTTATGATAGACAATAAGTTCCTTGGAGGTCTCTGTTCTGAGTGCCTGGGACGAAGAGGGTACCAAATGCTGGAACTGAGATTGTTTCCTTCTTTCTGAGCATTTTGCTGTCAGTATTTGTCTTCCATGCTTTGGAACTGGGAACTACTTAGTTAGATCTGAATCTCTAACCTTTGTCCTTTGTTGAACGTTACCTAGCCTCCAACCTCTAAAACTCCTTGTGGTTTTTATCTGCCAGCTTCTCCCCTTTCCTGCCTCCCCTCCTTCCTATTTAGTTTTTATAGACTTTCCATGTATCTGCTATTAGCTGTGATTAGAATTTGAGAAACAAGATTTTTGTATTGGGTTAAAAGTATTAATAGTTGAACCACAAAATAAGAGAAGTTGAAAAGAAGCCAGATTTTTCTTTTGACACTGCTGCTCCCTCTCTCCTACTCATAGCTGTGGTATGATGTGATGGTATTTCTGTTCACGGTTTAGAAAGAGTCCCTCTTTGAGTTTTTGAGCTGGAACTTGTCGGTCTACTATATTGAACTGGATGGACAGTCACTATTGACAATAGTCACATAGTTGCTGGGATGGGGCAGTGGTTGTAAAAGTTAATCTGGTGCAGGGTGGCTTAACTCAGAAGAGCTGTAGGGGATTTTGGCATGATTTCTATTGTGGAGCCAGACTTCTTGGCTTGAGTCTGGATCTTAGTAGTGTAGTTAGTAGGCATGTTTCTTCCATTCTTAATGCCTCAGTCTCGACATATATCAGGTTAATAACAAATTTATAGGGCTCCATAGGGGATTAACTAGCAATCTCTGTATTAAGATCATCTGAACTGCTGTAATAATCTGTCCCAAACAATGGTTCAAACAAGATGGACACTTCATTCTTACCTTGGAGTCCAGAAAGGATGTTCTAGATGTTGGGACAACTTTACTCCTTTGAATCATTTAGGTTACCAAGGCTCTTTCCAGCTCATTTTTCACCAGCCCCCAGAACATTTCCTTTCTGAGTTGTCACAGCTGCTTGCAGCTGGTCAGAGGTGTGGAGAATGGAGGAGGCACATCTCTTTAACTATGCTAGCTCAGAAGTTCTACTTGTCACTTCCTTTCAAACTCCATTAGGGAGAACTTCATTTTATGACGTCAAGAGACTGCGAGGAGTGCTGGGAAATGGGATCTAGCTGGACATCACCCTGTGTAAAGCGTTAGGAATAGTGCTTGGCACACAATGAACACCTGATTTTTGCTAAGTGTTTATGATAGTGTATCTTTAAGTATGGGTTTCATTAGTAGGATTCAGCAATTCTGAATTAAGAATTTGAATCTTTGAGCTTATATGAAAAATTCTATGTGATTTTTAAAAAAGATTTATTTATACATACAAGAACTGGGGTACACCCATAGGGGTGGGGAGTGAGAGAACTCACCAGGAGAGAGTGGGGAGCAGGACAGGCAGACAGACTGAAATACACTGTTGAGGGGAGCAGCGGGCGGGTCCGGAAAGGGTTGCCATGTGAGTCACCTGCCTGGCTGGGAATTGAACTCGTGCTCAGTGGTGCAGATAGTTTCATAGTGTTGCACTTTAACC